TTGGTGATCTCATTGGCTCCATGGGTTTAATTACTATCTCTATGCTGATGATTCTCAAATCTACCTATTCTACCCAAATTTCTCAGCTGACCTCCAATCTCCCATCTCCTGTTGCCTTTCAGATGTTTTACACTCAACCTGTCCAAAATTGAACTCATTATCTTTTCCTCCTAAACCCTCTGCCTCCTCCTAACTTCCCTATTATCATAGAGGGCAACACCATTTTCCTAGGCTTTCTACCTAGGTGCCATCCTGGACTACCCACTATCTTTCACCTCACATATCCAATCTTTTTCCAAGGCCCATTTCACCTTTACAATATCTCTTCAATAGCCCCTTTCTCAGACACTGCCACCACTCTAGTACAGGCCTTCACCACTTCATTCATGGACTATTGCAATAACCTGCTATCTGATCTACCTGCCTCAATTCTCTCCCTGCTCCAATCTACCTTCCATTCATCCACCCAAGTCATTTCCCTAAAGTGCAGGTCTCATTATGTCACCTCCCCCAAATAATAAGCTTCAGTGTCTCCCTATCCTCTATAGGATCAAATGCACAATCCTCTGTTTGGGATTCAAAGCCCTTCATAATCTAATCCCCTCCTTTCTTTCCTGTCTTCTTCCACCTAATTTCTCACCATGCCCTCTCACATAGGTACCCTAGTCTCTTGACTGTTCCACAAACAAAGGTGCTCCATCTTTTGTGTCTGGGCCTTTTTCCTTTGCTATTCCCCATACTTTGAAGGCTCTCCCTGCTCATCACCACTGACTGGCTTCCTTTAAGTCCCAACTCAGATCCCCCTTGTACAGGAAGCTTTTCCTAACCCCTTTTAATTTTGGTGCCTTCCCTCTTGTGATTATCTTCTATTAATTCTGTATATGGCTTGTTTGCTCTTGCAAATTCTATGGTTTGTTGTCTTCCCATTAGACTGTAAGCTCCTTGAGGCAGGGATTGTCTTTTGCCTCCTTTTGTATCCCCAGCACTTAGCAGTGTTTCTTACATGGTATATACTTAATAAATTTTAATTGACTGACATAGCCTACACAATCATATTTACAAACAGAAAGGAAAAACAAACACAAGACACAAATGATCTTGCAAGAGGACTCTTGAGGTTATATTATCAGAGTTGTGATCCAATTAGGATGTAAACCATAAATTTGACAATCCCCTTAGAAATTAGAGCTTTTAAAGACATGTTATCCCAGTAGATAGCTAGCCACTAAGGTGGTGCTGTGGAGAGAACGCTGGGCCTGGAGTTGAGAAGACCTGACAACTTGCTAGCTGTGTGACTCTGGGCAAGTCACTTAACCTCACTTTCCCCAACTGTAAAATGGGATAACATCATCCATCTCACAAAGCAGTTCTGAGAATCCAATGACATGATATTTGTACAATATTTGGTATGGTGTCTAGTACCTAGTAAGCTCTATATAAATGTTTATTCCCTTTGCCTCAATAACCTTTCCCTACCTCCTGCCCTGAGCCTTCAAGGTAATCATTTCTTGGGTTCTTTGAAGTACAAGGGATTGCAAGAACAAACTTTATTGCTCTCTGTTTTGCACTTATTGTTTGTTAATGTTTAATTCAAAATTCCTCCTCTTTTTCTCTAGTCTTACCTTGCCAAGTCCTACTCTGGGTGAGATTACTCTCACTATTTACTTCCTTTGCCCTTACTCCTGGGCTAATGACTGAAGTTAGAGAAAATCATGAGAATGTGCCTATTGGGTCCACTACAGACTTTTTACATCATCTCAATTGGGCCCTCACTGTGGCAAAACAATCCTTCTATGCCTCCATAATTAAGTATCTTATACCATGGTTTTTCCAAACATTTTTGGCCCCCCTCATGTCTCTGAGAGCTCCCCCTTCTGCACACCTCACAGCCAACAGCCTCACCTCGTATTTCCCATAGAGAATGAAATCTTTTGCCCATAATTACCTCTTATACCACCTCCCTTGTCCTTCCCTCATTTTTCCTTACCTCCTCCCTCCCTCCCTTTTCCCCTTCCTTCCTTCCTTCCCTTCTTCCTTCTTTCCTTGCTTCCTTGCTTCCTTCCTTCCTTCCTTCCTTCCATAACAAGGGACTGGCCATTGAAGCTGTAGTCCTGGGAGAACATGGATGCTGAGTGGCACTCAGAAAATACATGAAAGACTTCCTTGGAGGCCACTTTCCCTTTTAGTGGCAAATGAGGATGGTGAGCTGCTGTGCTTCTCCCTGTGAGGGAAGAGCCTCAGCACCCTCTCTCACTCACAGTTTATAAGGTCTTATATGTGAAACCTTGCCTGGGATAAATATTGGGCCCTTATGTTGGCAGGAACTCATTGAGGAAATTCTTCTCTGGGAACTTTTGTTATTGGATTCTTTAAATTGAGAATCCCTAGTAAATAACCGGAATTTGTTTTTCTCCCATTTTATTTCTTTCAATTTTTTCCCCTTAAATACATTTAAAACAATTTTAAGCACTCATTTTTAAAATTTTAAGTTCCAGATTCTGTATGTTTGTATGTATATATGTATGCTGTATATTATATGTGTGCAGTCATGCAAAACGTATTTCCATATTACCAAGATACAAAAGAAAACACAGTCTCAAAAAAAAAAATGAAAAAAAAGAAAGTAAAAAAAACAAAGCTTTGACCTTCTAGACTCCATCAGTTCTTTCTGTGGAGGTGGAAAGATTTTTATCATGAATCCTTGGAATTGTCTTGGATCATTGTATTGCTGAGAATTGCTAAGTCAGTCTCAGTTGATCATTGTTTAATATTACTGTTACTGTGTACAAAGCTTCTGGTTCTGCTCACCTCTCTTTGCATTAGTTCACATGTATCTTCCAAGTTTTTCTAAAAATATCATGCTCTCATTTCTTATATCACAGTAGTATCCATCATAATCATATCCCCCAACTTGTTCAACCATTCTCCAATTTATGAGCATTTGCTCAATTTCCAGTTCTTTAACACCACTAAAAGAGCTACTATAAAATTTTTGTATGTATGAATCCTTTTCTCATTTGATAATCTTTTCAGATACAGATAGAAGTGGTATTCTCTGAGTTACAGGGCATGCACAGTTTTATAGCCTTTTGGGCATGGTTCCAAATTGCTCTCCAGAATGGTTGGATGAGTTCACAAGAGTTCACTGTTACCAACCATGCAGTAGTATTCAATTTTCCCATATTCCTCCGACATTTGCCATTTTCCTTTTTCTCATAATAGTCAATCTGATAGACATATGAGGTGGTACCTCAGAGTTGTTTTAATTTGTATTTCTCTAATCAATAGTAATTTAGAATGTTTTCTATATGAATATAGATAGCTTTGATTCTTCATCTGGAATCTGCCTGTTTATATCTTCAACCATTTATCAGTTGCAGAATGACTCATATTTTAGATATTTCACTCAGTTCTCCATATATTTGAGAAATGAGGCCTTTTCAGAGAAATTTGCTTACCCCCCTCCCAGTTCCTGCTTTCCTTCTAAGCTTGGTTGCATTCTTCTTTGTGTGTGTGCACAAAAACTTTTAATATAATGCAGTAAAATTGCCCACTTTACATCCATAATGCTCTTTAACTCTTATGTGGTCATAAATTCCTCCCTTAACAATAAATCTAACAGGTGAAGTATTCCATGCTCTCTTAATTTGCTTATGAGATCACCCTTTACATCTAAATCATGTAGTCGTTTTGACTTTATCTTGGTATATGGTATAAGATGTTATTCTATACCTATATTCTGCCAAACTGATTTCAAGTTTTCGCAGCAATTTTTGTGAAATCGTGAGTTCTTGTCTCAAAGGCTTGGATCTTGGGGTTGGTTTAACACTACACTGCTTTGGTCATTTACTTCTATGTTTTATGTACTTAACCTTTTCCACTGATCCACCACTATATTTCTTAGTCAATACCACATTATTCTGATGATCATCACTTTGTAATACAGTTGAGATCTAGCACTGCTAGGCTAACTTCTTTCACATTTTTTCATTGATTCTCTGATATTCTTGATCTTTTCTTCTACAAAATGAATTTTGTTATTATATTTTCTACCTTTATAAAACACTTTTCGGTAGTTTGGTTGTATGGCACTGAATAAGTAAATCAATTTAGGTAAAAATTTGCATTTTATTATATTGGCTTAGCCTACTTGTAACCAATTAATATTTCAGCAGTTATTTAGATCTGACTTTATTTGTGTGGAAAGTGTTCATATACTTCCTGGATTTGTCTTGGCAGGCAGAAACCCAAGTATTTTCTGCTAAAAGCAGTAATTTTAAATGCAACTTCTCTTTCTATATCTTCTTGACGGGCTTTTGTTGATAATATATATAAATGCTGATGATTTTATATCTCACAACATTGTTGAAGTTATTATTTTAATTAATTTTTAGTTGATTCTCTAGAATTCTCTAAATTTATACTCATATTACCTGCCAAGACTGATAGTTTTGTTTCCACATGGTCTATTCTACTACCTTCAATTTCTTTTCCTTTTCTTATTGCTATAACCAGCATTTCCAGTATAAGATTGAATAACAGTGACATCCTTGCTTTGCCCCTGATCTTACTGAAAAAGTTCCTATTTATACCCATCACAGATAATGTTTGCTGATGTTTGTAGACAGATATTATTTATAATTTAAAGGAAAACTCATTGCATCCCCTCCCTGAAGTCATGGTCTTCTTCAAGGATGAAGGACAAAAAACAATGGGTCAATGAGATTTTTAATATTACAAAAGTGGCCTCAATCTTAGACCAGATTAAGAAACACCTTAGCAGCAGAGTGGTAATGTACTATGGTATGTGACATATACTGTCAAAGTCCTACTATCATTAGTTTTGTTAATGTTTTTTAAAGGTATTGATTGCAAGGGGAGGCAGGGCCATATAGGGAAATAACTGAGGCACATAAGGAGCAAAATGAATCAGTAAAACTTCCCAACAACAAATTTAATGGCTCCTGTCACTTTAAAATACACCTGTATAGAACAAGAGGAGGGTTCTGTTAATCTTAGTGGCAGGCCAAAGTCCATCAGAAGCTTAATCAGGATGCCAAGGAATTATAAGCTGATTGACCTTCTGTTTGCAGTCCTTCCCAGCTTTGGATTCTAAGCCTTCTATTGCATTAGCAGTAAGGAAGAGTGTCAATGGATCCATCTGTGGCCATTGCTCTTGGCTTACTGCTCTGTATGTCATGTCTGTTTCTCATTTTATCATGGAGAAAGGGCTTTGGAAGAGGAAAACTTCCACCTGGTCCTGTTCCTCTTCCCATTGTTGGCAATATGCTCCAGGTGGACCTTAAGAATATCCCTCAATCTCTTTGCAAGGTAAGTAAGTATCTCTGTCTTCTGTTGGTTTCATTCCTGACTCTAGCGGCATTCAGTTTGTTTTGCAGGACTGTCTTCAAGCAGCTTGTTCTAAAGAGTAGAGCGTTAGAGTAGGGAGGTAGACACCTCATAGGTTTTCTAGACTATATTTTGATTCACTGTAGTGGCCATCAGGGCCCAATGCTTCAGCACTAGCTGGGTGCTGTCAAATTCCTGTAGGAATTGATGAAATCAGTTCTAAAACAATTGCCATCCTCTGCTATCACTGCTCACATTGGCACTGTGAAGTTGTAGGAGAAAATGCCATCAGTCCCACTTCAATTGCTCATTGCCTACTATAGGAATAAAGGTGGTATTTAATGTGCCTGATTACTTCTGTTGCCTGAGGGAGGAGTAGGCCCTGCAAACAGGTGAGGACCTCCAGCCTTTGTTGGATCAGGGTGGAGAATGTTTTCCTTGCGCGTTCCTTCAAAGGAACCCTTAAGCAGTCTCTGTGTGCTGCCCCAGGCCTTGCATATAATCCCAAGGGTGCCTGATTAAAAGTAACTCTGGCCTCAAGAAGAAACAGTGACTTCTGAACTAAGATCTGTAGATCTCAAAGCCTTTGAAAGTTAACATGGGGTACTAGAAAAGGCATTGAATTTGAACTTCAAGTTCATATTCAGACAATTACTAGCTTTGTGCCTCAGAAAAGTCATGATAACCTCTTTGGATCTTAGTTTCCTATGTCTGTATGATGACTTTCTTTTAAAAAAAAATGTCCCATCTGCCTCACAGGGTTGTGAGAAAAGATTGAGATTAGTATGTGAAAACAAAATTATGTTCTCATTTTGACCTGGTAGATTGATAAACCAATAATTTTTTTTTTTACCAAATCCTTCCCCGATATATCCTGATCTTTGGGGCCTCAGTGTCCTCATATATGAAATTATGATTGATTTAGAAGAGTTCTTAATCTTGCTATCATGAAATCCCATTGGGTCTGTAGATATATTTCAAAGGTTCTGTGAGTTAGGCTGGGAAAAATTACATCTTTATTTCATTCTAATATAAGTGATTTCCTTTGTAATCCTATGTATTTCAATCTAAAAATATCATTCAGAGGAGTACATAGGCTTTACTAGCCTATTACAAGAGTTCACAACCAAAAAAAGGGTTTAAATATCTCCAAAGTCTATTCTGGATGTATACCTATGATCCAATGATACTGCTTTGTAGGATTTCTATTGGAATGTGTACCTTTTCTGCTCCAGGATTTCACTGACAGCATTGTACCCATTTCCAAATCTGTTCTTCTCAAAGCTTTAGATGAACAATAACAACAACAACAACAACAATAATAATAATAATAATAACAATAATAATAGTAATCAATAATAGCATTTGTATAATGATTTCAGGTTTGCCAAATGTTTTATAAATATTATTTTGTTATTCTCAAAAGAACCCTTAGAATTAGGTGTCATTATTATCCTAATTTTCAGATGAGGAAACTGAGGCACACAGAGGTTAAGTGACTTGCTGGAGTCACATAGCTATTAGGTATCTGAAACTGGATTTTGCATAGAGCCTTCTTGATTCCAGGTCCAGTGCTGTATCCACTACGGCATCTACCTATGAAGTATAAATTCAATATCTCTAAAATGTTGGGGATGTTGCACTGAGATCACAAATTGTGCTTCATTAACCAGTCTTCTGACTTCTAGCCCAAGGCACAGGATGAACTTCTAGCCTTTTGAGCCATCTATGGCTTGGTTTGGGTTCATGGGTTGTATCATCCTCCCTGTAATAAATGTCAGAAATATTTTGAAGGAGGTGATAGTGGATTGAGAACTTCTCCAATAAGGTCAACAACAGTAATGGCAGCAGTTTATCACCTGATTCAGTGATGATACCCTCATTACTGCCCACAACTCTTTTCACAGCTAGAAAAACAATATGGCCCAGTGTTCACTCTGCAATTTGGTTTTGAGCGTGTTGTCGTGTTATATGGCTACAAGGCAGTGAAAGAAGCTCTGATTGATCACGGTGACAAGTTTGCTGATAGACCACCTATGCCACTTTTCAAAATGGTTACCAATGGAATAGGTAAGTTTCTGCTGGGTACAGAGGAAGAAGAGAAAGACAAGAATACAAAAAAAGAATAGTATTCCAAGGAATTGGTGGAAATAGACCCACCCCTTACACCAAAGCCCCCAAAGCTGTGGAATGTTGGGGAGGATGTAGTGAGACATACTGAAGCCAATATTTTTGTCCATAGCAGCAGCTGCATTGCTTCACGTTGTATGTTATCTCCAGTTAAAGTAGGAAGAAAGAGATGAAGGGAAAAATAAAAATACAGAAAGATAGACAGAGACCAACAGAGAGAGACAAAGACAGAGAAGTCTCTGAGAACCTTTTTCATTATGACTCCTGATAAGCTGACTAGAAGGCAAACACATTATCTTCTCTGTAGAATACTTGTAGTAGGAACATATGAGTAAATCAAGCTGGGAAATGAATGAATGAATTAACAACAACAACAACTACAAAATAGAGTACCTACTATGTTCCAGGCATTGTATCAAGTGCTTTATAAGTATTATTTCATTTGCTCTTTGCAACCACTGCAATAGGGGGGTGCTATTATTACTCTTCATTTTACAAATGATAAAACTGAAGCAAAAAGATGTTTAGTGATTAGTTTAGCTAGTAAGTATCTAGGGCTATGTTTGAAGTCAGGTCTTTTGACTGCAGGCCAAATGTTCCCTTATGAAGGATCTTGAAGCAGAGGGTAATGAATTTCATCTTTTAAAGGTTTCCATGGAAATAAGATTACAGTCGGAAGGATTGTTCTCAATATGTTTAGTTAGGTGAAGTCTTCCTCCATGTCTGAGATCAGAGGTTGATATCTGAAGGTAGGAAGGTGTGATATATTCAGAGAAAGAAGGATATGCCATGTTAAGCTTTAGTATGTGTACATCAATGTGTGTACCATAAAGGCATGTGATCACCTTTTCCATTGCTCAAATTAACTACAACTCTTTGTATAATTGCTATGTTTTGTTTTGACTCAACAATCACTTCCCCATAAACAACAATCCGGTGTAGGATTATTTCAGACTTAGGGGAAAGAAAAGAAGCTAAGGAAAGCCACATGATTTGGGATTGCTACTGAGCTTTCATAACTTTCTATTCTTATGAAGTGTACCTCTTATTATTCCATCATTTCAGTCGTGTTCAACTTTACAGGACCCAGTGTGGGGTTCTCTTGGCAAAGATACTGGAGCTGATTTTCTACTTTCTTCTCCAGGCCAATTTACCGATGAGGAATTGAGACAAACAGGGTTAAGTGATTTGCCCAGTATCATATAAACAGTAAGTGTCTGAGGCTGGATTTGAACTCATGAAGATGAGTTTTCCTGACTCCATGTCTGGTACTCTTTCCACTGCACCACCTAGTAACCCACAAAAAGACACCACACAGAGACTCTCACTCACTCTTTGGTACCTGTGTGAAGTGGGAAGACTAGGACTTCAGGACATCATCATCTTTTAGGTTCCTTGTGTAAAAAGATGGAGAGATATCAACTAACTTGCCCTACAACCATTCAGTGTCTCAAATTATGTCTTTATCCTGGCCTCCCTCTTTGTGGCCACTTCATTACCAGGAGCAGGATGTGGGTGTAGGGCCACTGATGTGTTTGTGACTGTGATGAAGAGAGAATGAGACAGGAAACAGTACAGAGAGGAGAAAGTAAAATGATACCCCATAACCTATTCTCCTGGAACAACGGGTGTGGGTGAAGGGCCCAAGGACTTTTTGCCATGGACTTGCAGGATCTTTAGAGTCTAACATCTCTATTCTTCCTGCTCGCCTTTCTAGGCATTGTCGCAAGCAATGGAGAGACATGGAAGCAAATCCGCCGCTTCTCCCTCATGACCCTGAGGAATTTCGGGATGGGAAAGAGGAGCATCGAAGAGCGAGTCCAAGAAGTGGCAAAGACTCTTATTGAGGAGTTAAAAAAAAAAAAGGTTGGTGTTTTTTACTTTGTTACCACTGACCTTACAAAAATCTGTCCTGTCCCTTATAACTCGTGAAGACTAAGGTTGGTCAAGGAATTAACTGTAGCCTGAAAGCACTATGTTTACACTTTTTGGCCCATCCTGGGGATATGCCCATGGCCGTATGGTCATTCCTAGAAGCCCTGAAGGGTCAAGACAGCTGAGAGAAGAGATGAGAGGCAGTGCAGCTCTGCTAATGAGTTCATGCTAATCTTGTGAGGAGGCAGCATGGTGAGGAACATTTAAGGGAATGCCTTACTTGTTTGTATTCCTTTTCAGATGGAACAGAGCTCACAAGAACCTAGCAGCACCAGTTCCCTTACCTTTAGTCAACAACTCCAGGGGCAGAAGGCATTGCTTTAGGATCATTCTGGGGAGTCCAGAGTTTTTCTGACTAAGCGAAGGAGTGGAAGCAGGGCTGAGAACATTCCTAGGAAGTCAATGAGCTGACTCAGCAGCATTTCTTGGAAGCTTGTTTCCCTTCATGCTTCCCCCTTCACCCCTCCCCCCACATCTAAACTATCTCACAGAAGGGTTGTCATCCTTCTATGAAATCTGAAACTTAGGGGACCACAAAACACTAGAGGATGCTGATGCCATAAACTCTATGGAATAACTACTTTTTAAACCATAAAAGGCAACACTTATATGTACTGTGTGTGTGTGTGTGTGTGTGTGTGTGTGTGTGTGTGTGTGTTGGGTGGTAGGAATTGGGCAGTAGAAAGATACTGTCAGTTGTTGCTCGAAATTAGCTGCATGTGCTCTGCTACTCCAGAAAATTTCGCCAGCAATAATATAGGAATAAACTGAGAACAGCACTTCCCCACTACTGTGGAATCCGGGACTTTTGCCACACTTTTGTGTAGATGTTGCCTCCCTCAGTATAATGTAAGCCCTCTGAGGGCAGGGAACTGTTTACTATTGTCTGTGTTCCCCAGGTGCTTAGCACAGAGCCTAGTAAGAGCTAAGTGACTGCTGGCAGATTGGCTGCTTGATACTCTCTTCTCCCTCACCTCTATCATACTGTTCTCCACGGGTTCTTCTTTGTGCTGATTTTTGCTTCTCAATATTCTTTTGCTGGATCACTATGCACCTTCAGTTCCCTGAGTGTGAATATCTCCAAGACTCTGTCCTTGGGCCTCTTTAGTATACCCACCACCTCAACCACAATCTCCCCTCTGACCCTGATGGAGGCAGCTCAGGACCTCCAAACCCGAGACTGGGAAACAGCAAAACCAGTGTCCACAGGAGCTACCTTGTGGAGAAGGGGCCCATATTTCTCTTTACCACTAGCAACAACTGATGACCAGCTGCCACCAATAGGTACATATGCATGAGGGCCACAGGGGTGGCAGCAAGCTCTAGACCACTGGTCCTGGTCTAGCCCTGACAGCTCTCATCTGAGGAAGCAACTCCTGTGGAAAAGGGACTGTCCATTGCCACCAGCTGCCAGCCAATTGCTATTCATAAGGAAGATGGGCCAGCCTCTCCCAAAGGGAGAGATGAGAGGCCAGTCAAGGAAACCTAGAATCACCACCTTGACATTATCAATCCTTTCACAACCCAGAACCCTGAACCTAAGAGCATTTGGAATAGCAAGGCTTCCAGACCAGTGCCTGCAACCCTCATGCTGGGATAAATGATTGAAATACAATGAAATATAATTTAAAAATAGACATGAAGTCTGAAAGTAAAAGTTGGTTAGGCTGATGTAATGAATATGGATATAGAAATGGGAAGGGATGTTGTATGGTAAGAAGAACAGTTTACTTGGGGACAGGAGAGAATTTGGTTGCATTCCACATCTTGATCCTTCCTAGTTGTGCCACATAAATCAGCTGATTTTCTTGAGCCTCAGCAACCTCACCTATAAAATGGGAATTATTCTATTTGCACTTAGGATTCTCATGTGCATGAAATCAGATGCTTCAGAAAGGGTGGTTTATTTTCAACCTTGCTGTGCCAAGCTAGAATGTAAACTAGAAGGGAAAGGAGGACAGTCAGGTCCTACCTAAAGGCAGGCAAATCTTCCTTTCGATCACAATGGTAGTATTAAAGTCTTTCTTTCTCTCTTTCTTCTTTAGGATTACCATGTGACCCCACATTCATTCTTGGGTGTGCTCCTTGCAATGTAATCTGCTCTATCATTTTCCAGAAATGTTTTGAATATAAAGACCAGAAATTTCTATATTTAATGAAACTTTTGAATGAAAACGTCAAGATCGTAAGTTCCCCATGGATGAAGGTGAGAAAAATCTTCTCTCTGTTTGGAGCTCAGAATATATATTTTTTTAATTACTTCAAGGAAACTACTACAAGCAGCTAGGCTAGAGTTCATCATTCATTCCATTAGGAGTTACAATAGTGCCATATTGCAATGGGTTCCCATTTTCTTCTTCATTGACAAGGACTAAAGACAGAAAAGGTCACCCTATGTGGTCTGATTTGAGGGACATTATAAGGCCCCTCCCTGGAGTAGTTCACCCACTGGTCACAGGGACTGAATGTTAAAATTCATGTTACTAGAGACAAGCTGACTTTTCCCTTGTGCACCCGAATTTGGATCACGTTAGCAGATGAGTTAGCTGTCCCAATGGAAGGTGGTAGGCTGAGCTCTTAGAAGACCTCATAATGAGAAAGGATGAGAACTTTTCTGTTGGAAGTAAGAATTGAGAGTGAAAGCCAAGGCAGTTTCAGGCAACCAAGGAACAGAATGCTAATTTTTAGGGCATTTGTATAGGAAATGATGAGAAAAGTCACTATTTTCCAAAGGGCACTTGTCCCATCCTTATTCAGCCCTATTCTCAACATGATCCAAGTGCTAGAGTAGAAAATTATTTTCTTTTTTTTTTAAAGTATGATATAAAATTCTTCTTTTTAGGTCTACAATTCTTTTCCATCTCTAGTACGTTATCTCCCTGGATCTCATCACAAAGCATTTAAAAATATTCAATCAATACTTGAATTTATATTGGAAGAAGTGAAGGAACACCAAAGAACACTGGATCCCAGCAATCCTCGGGACTTTATTGATTGTTTCCTGATGAAAATGGAGCAGGTAGAGTGTGAGCAGTAGGTCTGAATCTCAGTTCCTGTAGGTGAAATGGCTTGTGTATCAGAGGCTGACATTCACATTCACAAACATAGAGCAGTAAATAATCATATTTTAATCATAATATGGCCAGAGCACTATATGAGAAGAATGAGAAGACAGGGTCCTAGCCCTGATGGAATTTCTAACCCAACAGACAGGAGAAAGCCCATGCAGGGACAAGAATAATTATCAGGAATGTGTAAGGAAAGCCTAAATAGATTATAAATTAATGATTTAAGTGATGAAGAAATTTGAAATTAGCAAGAAATATAATATTTGAAGTGGATTAACATAAGATTTCCTTCTGGAAGAGTAAGGTTTTAGTCTGGGTCTTGAAGGTGGTCCCAGAGCTAGACAGTGAGGACTGCACAGGACATTTCAGGACTCTACAAAGACAGTGGAGAATAGGGAACTTTAATCTGAGCAGCCTGATTTAAATGCAGGGCCTGCTGTGGTAAGTACTTGTGGGTAGGTTGGTGGGTTTTACAATCAAGATAGTGGAGTTAGAGACTCCTCACTTTCCCACCATACCACACACAACAAAGAGCAAAACAAAAAGAAAGAGAAATCACTGAAAAATTGCATAAATAAAAAAATCCATCCCATTATAATGAAAACTAGAATAAAGCAATATGCTAATGTAATTCATATGGAGTAAATGAAACCCTGAAAGTACCAGAGAAACAGGGGAGAAGGTAAAAGATAGGCTGATGGAATGCTGAAATGGATCAATGACGTACTTACAGCTATGAAGTGTGCTCTGAGGTCATCACTTATGGTTTTCTTACCAGATGAACCAAAAAACACATTAATTCTAAAACATTTAATTTAGCAATGTGTCAACATAACTGACCAGGAAAATCCTTCCTTCATCAACCTATGCACGTAAGAGTATATTCTCCCACAGATTCCTACCCCATTGGTAGATGAGGGAATATGGGAAACAGCAAATATGTAGACCAGAGCAAGAGATTTTTAGAACTAATATGTACAGTAGTCTTTTGTGTTTCATGTGTGAGGAATCTTCAGAATTCCATATTCTTTCCCCTCCCCTCACCACCCACAGTGGGCATAGACCTTAGTTGACTTCAACTTGAATTATGCTCCCTAGTACCTGCCTGCTTTTCCTATGTTTTTACCTTTCTTATCTTTAGTCCATTGGATATTTGTTATATATTCCATTTCTGGTCTCAGTCGTGACTTTTCCTCAATATCAACATCTTATTGTCAAGGGTAAAGCATTTACCACTTCAATTTCCTCATTAGTAAAATGACAACAATAATGCACTAACTGTGTCACAGTATTTTGATGAGGATAAAATGGGAAAATATACATGGATCCTTTTTGCATTAATTGTTATATATATGGAAGGTGATAATTTTTTTCCTTCCTTATTTGCTAAACTAATAAATCCTGTTTATCTCATTGAACTCATAGAATAACAGAGTTTAATTCTGAAGAAAATGCAATAGCTTACATGTGTGCAGTGCTTGTGCATTTGTTGCTCAGTCATTTCAGTTGAGTCCAACGCTTCATGACTCCATTTTGGGTATTCTTGGCAAAGATACTGGAGTGGCTTTCCATTTCTAGCTCATTTTACAGATGAGGAAACTAAGGCAACCAAGGTTAAGTGACTTGTCCAGGATCACACAGGCAGTTAGCCAGATTTAAACTCAAGCCAATGCACCATCTAGCTGCTTGTGTATACCCACAGATATGATTGATATATAATATGTAGGTACAGATATCTTGCAAGTTAGTATCATACAGTACAGTTGTGTCAAACATGAATAGAAATGGATCCTGGTAGGCCTCATATTAACCTAGAAAATGCAGAAATTAACATTCTCTATGTTGTATTGTATCGTTATTTATTTTACTAATACATTTCCCAATTACATTTTAATGTGGTTTCAACCACACACAGTTTTGTTGGTGTCTTGAGGCCTGAGAGTTCAGAGTTTGACCCCCCTGATGTAGCAGATAAAGAGCTGCCCTCAGAGCCAGACAAAACTGAGTTTAAGTCCCCTCTCTGACACAAAATGTCTGTGTGATCCTGGGCAAATCACTTAACACTATAGTGCCCTAGGGCTAGGCAACTCTTTAGAAACTTTAAGTTTTTCAGAGAAAGTGCAGACTTGCATTGGCAGACAATTTTTTTTTACCTGGAAGTTACCTGTGCCAATGAAATTGCAGGTCTAGTCTCTTTCTGTCTGTCTGTCTGTATATATCACCCCATCCCTCACCTCTTTCTTCTCTCTGTCTCTCTCCCATATGTGAGATCTGCAAGGGCCAAAATGCTTTGTTAATTGCTAGCTTCTTGTTCACTTTGGATTGTGTTGCTTGAATTTAATTTATTTATAGGGTATAGATTTAGAACTGAAATGGATCTTGGAGGTAATTGAATCCAACTCCCTCATTTTACAGATGAGGAAACTGAAACATAAAATGGTTAAATGAGTTGCCCAAGGTCAAGATCAGAGCTGGTGGTGTGTTGGGGGCAACTAGGTGGCACAGTGGATAGAGCACTGACCCTGAAGTTGAGAGCATCTGAGTTCAAATCTCACCACAGACACTTAACTCTCTGTGTGACCCTGGCCAAGTCATTTAACCCTTTTCCTCCCCCCAAAATTAAAAAAAACATATCAGAACTGAGATTTAAACCAAGGTCCTCTGCTTCCAAATCCATTATGCTTTCCATTTTGCCCTGCTGCCTCTCTTACTTTTCCATTAATCATACCAAATTATTCCTAGGAAAAGCAACAACCACAGTCTGAATTTACCATTGAACACTTGGTCCGAACTGTAAGTGATCTATTTAGTGCAGGAACAGAGACAACCAGCACCACCCTGAGATATGGACTCCTGCTTCTCCTGAAATACCCTGAGATAGAAGGTGGGATAAATGATAAAATACACATAATTTAATCCACATGAGATGGGTTCCTGGTCCTTTTGAGACTTTCCTTGGAAATTTTTTTATTGCCATTTTAATGTATTTAAGTCATTACATGTTCAAGTTTACTTATTCCTCCTTCTCCACTACTACTTCCACCTTGCTTAGTTAAGTGGTATATAATTGTGAGTTATTATTAGAGGTAACCACATAGATAGTGAAATGAATAGAGACTGGAGCCCAGTGCCAGAACTGGGAGGAACTGAATGATTGAGAGGCACTGGTTTCTGATAGCTTCTTGATCCTACCTGACCATAGAAGGAGCTGGTGCCTCTGGATTCCTGTCACTCTACAGCCACAGAGGGAAGTACCTTGGGCCTATGGTTGGTCACATTGAGTTGTAGAACAGGTCCAGACTGAGAACCCTCCTCATTTCCTTAACCAAGTGTTGCTTGGCCTGCATTTTTTAAAGGACAACTTGAAGTTGTCTTGAGGGCATGGGTCATAGGTGTCTCAAGGGATTCTCAGCTGACTTACTCTAAAATGGAATTTTCACCCATCTGTCTATCTTTCTGTCTATCTATCTATCTATCTATCTATCTATCTATCAGAATATGAGGTTCAAGTCCATTATTTACCAATGTGGCTCTTGGGGAAAAATCAGAGAAAATATGAGAGAAGGTAGTTTTTGTTCCTACTTCTAAGATCAATTTTCATTCATATTGTGACAGGTAAACTTCATGAAGAAATTGATCGTGTGATTGGCCGAGATAGAGGTCCCTGCATGGAGGACAGAAACAAGATGCCTTATACCAATGCTGTGATACATGAGATACAACGATACATTGACCTCGTTCCCAACAACCTGCCCCATGCAGTGTCAGAAGATGTTCAATTTAGGCAATATCTTATCCCCAAGGTCAGAAGTGTTTCTCAGTATAACACAACATTTTATATTCTCTTCTATTGAATTATAGAATCTTACAGCTAGAAGGAACCGCAGGCCAACCCACATCCCTGAGAAGTGGTCACAGAATTTCAGAATTGGAAAGCATTTCAGTGTCGTATTCTCCATCCCAAATCTGAAAAAAATTCCATCTACAGTATGCTCACCTCGTGGTCATTCAATCTTTGCTTATGCAGCCTTTCAATGAGGTGGAACCACTTTTTATTGTGGCATTCCATTCTAATCTTGGACGGCCATAATTTGAGGGATTTTTTTTTTTCATGAAGCCTAAGTTTGCAATTTTATAACTTTAATCTATTGCTCTTTGTTTTGTCCTCTGGAACAAAACAGAACAAAGTTACTCTCTCTTTCTAGTAAAAGTTCATAAAACACTTGAAAGCACCTATTATGTCTCCTGTTCTGTTATGTCCTCTGTTC